TCTATTTAAAGGGCAAAAAGAATACTCTTGCAGACATGCTCAGCAGAAAACCACTAAAGGAAGTTCATATGATGGCAAGCTCTTCCACATCATAGAAAAGCTATTACGACTTCGAATCCAACATGCCCGACGATGCCCATCAGCTAATCAAGAAAAACACTTTACACGAGCATCTTCAACAAAAAATCTTCCAATACCATTCCATCATTCTGTCAAAACACGGCATTAGTTTTCATTACATCTCACCAATGGGGATCCACCTGGACAATTTGTTTGCTCACCTCTATAGGATCGAAAATTTAAACATGCCAGAAGAAGTCCTATGTTTCCTCTAGTATCTCTGCTCAGTCTACACCATTAGCATTACCTTTAACATAGGATGGCTGTATCAATACCCTACAAGGTAAAAGAGATTGTCTTTCGACTTTCTTGACATGGTTTGCATCATTAACCATATGGAGCGGAAAATTAAGAAGATCAGCAAAACCAACATGTTTACCATTCAAAAGACTAAAGGGTCAAGGAGGTCTCAATCCTATAACCCCCATACAATATACTTCTTCCCATCGACCTGTTCAAGTCAACATAAAGTCCAACAAACTTCATGCCCTACCCACACTCATCCAGTACAACGACTATCGAAGAGGGATTTGTCCAGACTTATCCATGATAACAAGCCATACGAAGACTTCCAAACACACGCTTCTAGTCTCAACAATGCCACGCAACATTCCCTGTTCCGTTTAACCCAAGCTGGATCTACTCCACCGACTACCAGATGAGTCTCGATGAAGATCTATAATATTTCATGGCAAAACAAAGCATGGCAGATATCCCAAAGATATTGAAACAAGAACCAACATCTCAACACTTCCCGCCCGAATATTCTCCCGATTTCATCAATATTCATAGTGTCGTCTCGGAGTTTCGAAGAACAGAAAGAAGAATATGTATGCCCAGGAGATCATTATGGTTGTTGCGACAAGCATATCATCGAATTCGAAATAGATTACTAAATGAAGTAATTCGAAATACTTCATTATGTATAATTATTAATAAGCGTGTTTAAGTAAGTAATAATGGTGATGTAAGCAATGATGTATCGCTCAATAATGTAAGATGATGTAAGCGATGATGTAATCTCTCAATAATGTAGGAATGATGTAAGCGCTTATATCAGCGCACCATTCCTCTCCTATATATAGGTGTGTACCCTATTTGTAAGAAAATATCTCAGAATTTCTATAAAAACCTCTCTTTAAGTTAATGTCTCTAAAATGACTTTATAAACTTTTTAGTTTTCCAGATTTCCTAACATCTTAATAAGTTTTGATTACTCTCTTTCATCAGAAAGATACTATTCTATTCTAGATTCTTGGTTAAGCATTCTGATATATTAATACAAATTCTGTCAACACGGCATTCGTAGGAAAGTGAAATTCCTAACAGTGGTTGAGCAAATTAGAGACCGATAATTGCCCAATACATCTTTCTTACTTGAAAATTATCGCTCTCATTTATCAATACGACTCTAATCAATAAGATACTCCAGAGCTTGGGCATAGAAACTGGTGTTTTTTCTATTACAATGGAAGATGCAAACGATTTTACCCGAGCACAACATACATGTTTGTAAATCTTTATTTTATCATTAATAAACTGTGAAGGACATTTGTCTCTTATTAAAAAACAAATATTATTTTTTAATTATATATACATTTTTTATGATAAACAAGTTATATATCATGAATCATATATGCCCAGAAGCCTAAATATAGAATATGTTTTTAATATCAGGAACTTATAATATTAGTTGTAATATAAAGGTTGAGAAACAAAAATTTGTGACGTATATATAAAGATGATATAAAATACAGTATTTATGTTGCACATACAACATTAACTCAGATGTAGTTATCTTTTCGATAAAATTAACAAGACAAGATAAGTCTATTTAGACTAAAAAAAATTATACTAATATTTGCTATTGTATAAAATTATTTGGTTGTGTTATGTTTGTGCAAAAAACGAAAACCGAGATAAATATGTAGAGGCTAGTACATTAACAAAATGACTATTATTAAACTAGTTGTGTAATGTATTTGCCTAACAACTTGTCAACGATTACTTGGTATGCTTTTTCGGTTGGATGGTAACTGTCCCAAAAAATGTAAGAAGATGAATTTTTGCATGTAAAAGGATTGATTTTATTGCACAATATTACTACTTCAAGTAGCCCTGTTCCGCAACATCCTTTGTTTGACACTTCAAAACCTGGAAAAACAAATTATTTCCAGTTAGTAATAAGGAAAATATTCTCTCTGACATTATATATCGATGGTCAGTTATTTGAGATCAAGTCTTGTTTGGTCTATCGAAAGTTTATATAATAGATCTAAATAGTAAATTTATAGATCTGAAAATCCAAATACATATAAGCAGGGGTGGATCTACTTGTTCAGGTTGGGGGTAGATGCCACCACTAAAAATTATTCGATTAATGCATATTATGAGGGTTTTAAATTAATACCCCCACTCATAATTGTTATTCTGATTCCACATATTTTGAATTAGATTTTAAAAATGTATTTTAATGTCTGAAAATCTTTTGGTAATAGCTTATAATTAATAGCTATTAAAATTTGTAAATTGATTATTCGATAAATAAATAATGTATCTGCCAAAACTAGTTTTATATTATAGTTTCTTTAGTTAGTTCATTCTTCACATAATTGGCAAAACTAATTGCCTAATTCAGTGAAACTCAATGAATCGTTTTTTTAATATAACTTTTTCTCGACATATATTTATTTTTAAAAAATACAGTATTGTAACACTTAGGAGGGTGTATTGGATTAAGAATTTCAGAAATATTTGGTGGTTGTTTTAAAAATCTCTGTTATTGAATTAATGATTTCTAAATATCTTACCAAAATTAATGTTATCGAACATAAAATTTATGTAAAGTAACTAAAGTCATCTAAAAATCCATGTTATTCAATTAACAATTTATAAAAAACTAAATCAAATCCACTGTTATTGAAAATATTTTAAATAGTGGATTTTAAAAAATATTGAGTACTTTTAAATGATTTGGTGGAATTTGTTAGTTAAAAATATAGAAACCTAAATCTCATTGTTTAGGTGGGATTTCATATAATTTTAATATCAAATCATATCAACTTTACCAATCCACATAATATCATCTAAAATTTCATTAAAACTAAAATCTTTTCAAATTCTCTAAAATTTTAGTTTCAATACACCCCCTTATATTTTTAGTTAGATTCCAGCAATACTGAAAGATATTAAAAAAATTATAATTCCATACTCGATTTCATTAAAAATATTAGTTATCTAAAGATTTCATTTTGATATAAGCAATAAAGATATACAAATAAAAAGTAAATATTTAAATAATATTATATATATATGTTATAAATATGTCTAAAAGAAGTTATGATCTGAGTCAAATCAATTCCTGGATCTGCCACTCCATAAAAGGATAATTGGAAACTAAAATTTTTTATTTGTATTTTGGCAATCTAATTTTTCAATGTGATTTTGACGATAATATCGTATATCATTTTAGCAGGTGGTTATGATTTTTTTAAAGTATTTTCATAGTTTTTATGTTTTTATGGACAAAATAAAAAGATAAAAAGATTGTAGTTTAAAAAGTTAATTAATTGTCTCTGCATATAATTAAATATCTTTATTTGTTTGTATCAGTTAAACCTAAAATATGTTTTAATTTTCATTACAGGGTAAGTTTATCATGCTTTTTTATGGAAATTGGTTTTGAATTATCTGTATGATAGTTTGAAGTTTATAATTATTAAACTGTAATAAAATAATTTATATTTACTTTACTTAAGTTTTATAGATATTTACATATTTATGGATATCTTAAATTTTAAAATCTATTCTGAACTAGTGGATCTAAAAAAGGTATTTGAAATGTATTCTTTCAGAAGTACAGTTTCAAAAATATTTAAATAAGATAATATTTGGAAAAATACAACAAAATTAGTTAGATAGAGTATAATATAAAGTATTAACTGAAAAATTCTCAGTGAGACAAGGTGAATTAAATACAATTATCACTGAATAATTGTAAAGAGATGGAAAGCTAGTTATAGTAGATACTAGTGGTTGATTCACGCTTCGCGTGGAAGTTTTTTTTATTGTGAAATTTTATTTGTAATTTTTTATATGATTTCATTATTTAGGTTTAAAGTTGCTTCAATTTATTTTTTCTATCATCTGCTATTTTAATTCTTATAATTTTAATGTCATGAAGTTTTGATATATGCTTTTAATGGATTATTATTTTTTACTATCATACATGTTTAAATAATCACTTTTAGGATGTTTGTATTTCATATTATTTGATTATTATTATATTTTTTACTAATATTATTATTATATTTAATTTGTGTATATGTTTTTTTTTCATCTAGTTTTTGTGTATATACAGAATAACATTCATATAGCCCACACAACCTAAATTTCATAAGTGAATGTTATTCTGTAGATTGTAGGATAGTTGTTATTGCTGTACTGTGCTTGGTCATGAACTTAATAATTATAGAAAAGATTTATAATATGTAATTTGGTAAAATTTGGGCTTTAGCTATTGGTCAAATATTGCTCGTATAAGATTTAAGTTTTGTATGCTGAATTTGATAGTAAAATTTGAATTATATAGTTTATGTTGTTAAATATTGGAGTCTGAAGTGGAAGCTAAGGTGGAGGCAGAAAAAAAGAAAAAGCTCTCTTAATATATATAAATAGATATCATGTTTTGTTTTGTATAATTATTTTTAATATGATAGTATATTGTGTAATCACTTTTAACAAACGTGAAAACATAAGAATTTATTGTTTGAATGGTAAAAATTAGCAAATCACGTTTTTGAAATGTGAATAACAAGTATATCATGCATCACCTAAGCAACAAAGTATCGTGCAAAAGAAAAATGCATGTGTATTCATACCTACCTAGGTAACAAAGTATCGTGCAAAAGAAAAACACATGTGTATTGATACTTACCATAGTTTTTAGGGTTTTCAATCATGTCATAAAGAGTGTCATATACGTCAATAAAGACAATTTTACTTCCCGGTGACTCTTTTCCTAAAGCTTCCAATGCTGGAGATAGTTTTGCATTGAACTGAAGAGCCATTTTGTTTAGTTTGTCTGAGCAATTTCGCTTTATTCCTTGAACTGTTCTGCGTGCTGGTAAACATCCAACTGGAACTGCACTAAATACTCCAATTCTTCGGGCACCAAGTCCATATAATTCCTATATAATGTAAATATTGCACATAAATCCTGAATTGAAATTAGTATAATGTTGTTATAAATAATTAACATAAATTACAGATCATTTGATATTGATAAATGAATAGTGAACTACAAAAAAATACTACAAAAAACAAAAATATGGATTACTAAGATAACTTTGTTTTAAACAAAACATTCGTTAAATGAAAGAAAAATTAAGAGAAAAAAAAGATTAAAAAAAAAATTGAAGTATGATTAGTCATATTTTAGACTTACTCTCACAAATTTAGAAGACAAATCAGCCAAATAATGAGGATACGCAGTCTTGTTGTATTTGATTGAGCGTGCCATATATGTATGAGCTAAATCATTACTGCTGGCGACCACAAGATAAAGACTATTTTCTACCATAAAATTAGCTTTTTCGTCTCCAAGTATAATTTTTATTTTTTCTTTGTATTCTTTAAAATATTTTAATTGATCCTCTAATGATACCACTTTCTGAAACGTTGGAAATAAAATTGAACAAAATATTAATAAAAATATACAAATTTGTATTTAAAAAAAAATATATATATATATATATATTAAAAGAAATAATGTAACATTAAAATACCACTATTTTAGATGTTAGTGGATCGTAACCCGAACCTCCTGAAGCAAAATTTATACTCAAGATCTCTATTTTTTAGCTTTGGATCTAAGTATGCTGGTATTGTCTTTGCTATTCCTAACCTCTCTGCTGCCATATATTTATAAACCAGAAAACCACAATTGATCACGATATAATGCATAATGCAATGGCTATCACTCGACACATTAGATAACTAAAAGAAGTATACTAATAAAAAAATATAGAGGTGATTTAAAAGTGATGAATGGGATTATACTAACACACAAAATCAGATGGAACTCTTCCATCGCTAAATCTTCCAGTAGCAATTTTGCCCGGAAAATCTTTACCGTACGGAGGAAAGTTACATTTTAGTAGTGTACGGATGTTGTTGTTGTTTCCACTATCCACTATTGAGTCACCAAATATTATGACTCCAGAAACGGTAACATTCGAGGGTAGTTTTATTGTAGCTTTTCATCAAAAAAATTGAACTTATTAAGTCAATATGAATAGCAACAACGTTAAACATATTTGAATATTGGAAAGTAGAATAAAATATTACTATACTTTCATTAATTTATATAATTATAATACTAGTGAACCATTAAAATGAAACAATTATAAAAAATCACCCAAAATCATTTTTAAAGCAGGTTTTAAATTAAATAAATTAAATAATTGATCTTTTAATGAAAAATCAATGATTCCTTTTCGCAATAAAAATAATAATTAAAGAAGCTCTATTATAATTTGTAATATGAATTCTATAAAAAAAACATAAATGGAATTTCATGAATTGATACAAGTTAATTTTTTTCTTCCAATTTTTTAATAGAGAACATGACTGAAATTCTGAAACCATCAAAACCGTCGGAAATCAGTTACAATATATATAGAGCATCAGAATATCCAAATATGTTATAAGATTATGAGGTCAGATGACCATCAAAATTGTCAAGATTTAATAAATTCACGCTAACTATAAAAAGAAAAATTAATGGAATTGGTGTAGAGCAATATTACCCCTAGTAAATTTTTGTTCTAGATTATTAAAATGTTATGAATTAACGTAAATAAAAAAAAACAAATGGATGAAATGGTATAGAACAATGTAGGCAACTAGCCAACTATGCATGTATAAATATACCTTCTAAATCGGAGTCTGCTATCTCGACTTTAATATTTTGATTTACAGTGTTCCTGCTAGCTTCTACCACTGCTAGCAAGAATATTAAGTATACCAAACTTGACATTAATTTTTTTTTTTCTCGATTATCTTACGTAAAGAAAGAAAAATGATTTAAGAGTAGATTTATTTTTTTATTATTTTTTTTTTCTTAGGGGTAAAACAATTTCCTAAAAAAATGATAGTGAATGATGGAAATACATGTTTATATAGTGATGATACTTTTGTTGCTCTTCGAAAGAATAGCATGGGATATTTTTGGCACTACCATATGTTCTCTAAATTTATGCATGTCCTTGTAAACAATCAGTTTTCCGACTATTTTGCTTTCTTTTATGCTGGTGTTTGACAAATTCAATTTCAGAAAGACAAAATAGTAAAAATCATTAATTTGTGACCATTCTGTGATATAAGATCAAGGGGATGATCTTATAAATGGCTGGGTGAATGGGTGGAAGCAAGCAGCTAGACTGAAGTCTCTTTCTAATTGCTTAAAAGATGATCGAAGTGGATAGTTGCGGGATCAATCCTGTTGGACTCAAGTCTCTTTCAGGTTGGATCAGTGGATGAGATGGATAGATGGGTGGATCGAAGAACGCCACTCAAGGGTGTGGAAGCCCCTGTAATGAGTTCACAAACCTAGTCTCAAGGCATCGCACACAAGAGACATAGATTCAAATGTTTACTAAGTGAATAATTCCATCTTGCTTAGATAAACAAAAACAAAGCCAAAGCTTTAGAGAAAAATCTTTTTTAATTTCCAAAAATTTCTATATCTTTTCACAATGAGAACAATGAGCTTTTATAGCTCTTACAAAAGATCTTTATAAATAAATACACTTAAATGAAATTATTTACATTTAAACAAAAAGAGAAAAATAAGCTAAATCAAATAATGGTCTTCTTGCCACCAATTTTGCTTTGGACTTGAATGAGAATCCTTTGACTTTATAAATCATGAAGAACAGATTCTAATAATAATGCACATATTGAAGATTCTTGATTTACTGGTTTTTGATATTGTATCATTCAGTCTTACTGCATAATTTATGTACAAATAAGAGAACTTCGTTAGATTCAAACCAAAAAAATAAAATAAGGGAGACCTTGATAACATGATAATTAGTCAAAAAAAAAACAACATTTGACAAACAAGACAACTCATTTTGTAAGAAAACATTTGCTAATTACGCATGAGTTTATTGCCCTTGTATGTATAAATCAGAAGTAAACAGAGAACAGAGCGATCATTGATTCTTTCTAGAAAGGGAAAAAATCAAAGAACCGACTTTTTTTTTAGCAATAGCAATAGTGACCAAACCATGCATGTCATAGTACTAGACACAAAACCATAACCGAAAAAACCAAACCCAAAAAAGTGATATGGTTTGGTTATGGTTAAATCTAAAAAATTAAAAACCTATTTGGCCATCATATTTTATAGCTTTGGTCTAGGTTTAGTTTGGTTAAAAACCGTCAAACCAAAAAGTTTTTTCGGTTTTTAAACTAAATTTTAAATAATTTATATTTTTCTAGTTTCTTAATTTAGTTTAGGTACATATTTTATTATTGAGCTTAGTTATCTTTATAATTAACTAACTTAACTCATAAATTTAAAATATAATATTTATAAAAAATATCTATCTATAAATAATAAAGTAAACCTTAAATTTTCAATAAAAAAAACAGGATTAACTCTTTTTTCTTCACATTCAAGTCCTCTAGTTCTAGTTCCAAGGTTATAGATATTAAATTTTAATCTAGATTTTTTTATTGTTTTATAATTATTGATTATGAAAGATTTGATAATTTGTTTGTTTCTCTGTTTTGAAATCTGTCCTTATTGATAAATTTTTTATGACTTAGATTCTATTTTTTGAACTTATTGTTTTATTTCACTCATATCTATTATTATTATTTCTACTAGGTTTATAACTCGCGCTACGCGCGAATCTGTATTAATAGTTTAGTTTAATGTATTATCTTTTAAATTATCAAAACTATAATAGATTTATAAAAAAAAATTCTTTATAAAAGAGAAATTAAAATATAATGTGTAGTTTTCTCCTATTTTTATGTATAAAATTTTAAATTTTATTATGTGAAATAATAACAACAACACCTATCAAATTATCCAACTTTGACATACACATACGTTTGATTTAGAGAAATAGTTTTTTGCTAAGATCTTGGTATTTTGTTTTGGTTTTTATAGGATTTTTACAGTTCTTTTTTCTTTAGTGTATATGTGTTTAAATATTTAGTTTTTTTATTGAATGTGATGTTGTGTATATATGCATTTATAATCCATGATTCATGTTGATTCCCATTTAGTTTTGTTAGGAAGTTGCAATGATCATGCAAAGCCATTTATTCTTTCTTCATTACGTCATCCATGAGTTTTAGCTTATATCTTTATTTAGTTTTCATTGAGATCTATTTTTTGCATTCTAATGTTTGATAATTTTAGTTTTTATACTAGTAGGATCGGCGGTGTGGAGTCTTCGCATTATTTTTCATTTTTTTATCTTTTGTGTGCAATCTGTATGCTTTGATTTGAATATTTTATCTACAAATACCAATTTGAATTTGATTCATAACTCGCTTATATTTTATTATTTAAATAGAATTTTAGAATGTGTTACTCATATGTTATTAATGTTGGTTCAAATATAAGTAGTGACTATGTATAAAAATCAGATTTTAGAACTTGTTAAATTTTGAATGTAAGGTTATTTATGTTGTGTTTTTCTTTGTTAGTTTCTAAGATCTGAAACACCCAGTGTATTAATCATTGTATATTTTACTCATGTAAACCTATTGCAACTTTAGATAGTTATTTATTGTTATATTATAAAAATTTTGAAACTAATTTAAAATTAATTTTGTTATAATTTATTTATATAATTTACATCTTTTGATAGTAATTTTATATTTTATTTTTATTTATATAATTTTTTTTTGTATGTTTGATATACTTAGGACTTATATTTGTTTTTATTAAGCTCTTTTGTTGTTTTTAACAAAATAGGTAACATAGACATCAAGTTAATTTCTTTTATACGAATGTTTTTCTTTGTTAAATTTGTTTTTTATATTTATTTCATTTTAGTTATAATGCTCATTTAACATGTTTTAAATGTTCAATTTAATTTTATAAACTTTTCTCAAAATCTTATAGCATCATTTTTTTAGTTAAGTTTTTTTATGTTGATTATTAAAAATGTTAGCCCAAATATCAAGTTAGTAAATTATAACATGTTGAAAGCTAAAGAAAACATAAATATTTATAAAAATGTTATAAAAGAATGTTATGAAAATGTTATGAATGTTTATGTTTTTTATAACATTTATAAAATTTATAATCAAATTTGAAACATAAATTTATAATATATTGAAAGCTAAAAAGCCTTTTTATAAAAATATTTTTAATTTCTCATCATATCATAATAGCCTTAAAACAGTTTGGTTTGATATTTAAAAAATTCACAACAGATAATTAAAGTATGGCAGGTATATGCATGAGAGTGTACTTACCATATCAAATAGTCAGTAGTTGCTTTAACATAAACATAAACAAATATTTATAAATGTTATAATTTATATTTC